CTCAACCCCCCTGCCATGCGGCAGGCCCCACCTGCTGGAGCAGGCCCCAGTCAGCTGCTGGAGCAGGCCCTTCCCACTGCAGCACCTCCCACCACCACCATGAGGCTTCAGCCAGCCCCCGAGCGACCTCACCTGGCCCCACCCACTGGAGCAGCCACCTGCCATGCCACTCACCTTTCCAGCAGGAAAGTAAATGCTGCTGTGTAACTTTGCCAAGGAGGTGGGCGGGTGGAGAATTTTTCATGTGCAGCCATGCAGGTGTGCCTCTTAGAAGGAATTACTGATGGCAGCCGCTTCTAGCTGCAAGAGAGGGGAGAGGTAAGGGAAGATCTGGCCTGTTCTTCACAGAGGTCACCTATTCTCCCCTTTTCCCCATCCCGCTTTCCTATGGCTGAAAGCAGCTTGTCCCTGCCTGCCTGCACAGTGTCAAAAGGCAGCTAACACCGCCAGGCTGCTGCTGGCCATTGACATGTAACCCCCCTGGCCCTGCTTACAGACATAACCCAGGTGCCTCCGGTCCCCTGGCTGAAGGCAGGAAGGGGTTAAGCCCTAAGAATGCAGCATGCACTAGGGCCCAGCAGGCGAGGTGCCTTGGGGCCAGAGAAGGGGGGCAGAGACCCAAACAGGAGGGAGGAGGAAGAGGACGTTAAGCCTCTACCTAGGCTGCTGCTGTGGAGTATGCAGGGTCAGGGCACTAACAGGCTGGAAATTCCCCCTTTGCCACTCCAGAGCTTAGCTGAGGGGCAGAGAGGCTTCCCTGTGCCAGCAGCTGGGGCTTTGGCATATTCAGGGCTTGGCTCCTCCTGGTCAGGGCCCCAGCCTAGTCTTGGGCTTTTCTCAGGTGCCAGCCCAATCACAGGCCGTGGGGAAAGAAAGGACCCTGCCAGCGAGCCTGTTAGTGAGCTCAGTGCTCTGACCAGGGGTAGGTTCTCCACACACGACGGCGGGGATACGGAGGAGCAGCAGGGATGGGATGAAGGAGAAAGAAACAAAGCAGAGAGAGAACAGTAAGAAGGGAAACATCTAACAGGCTGATGGGTGGGTAGTAGATACAGCATGTAACAGGCTGCTGCCTGGCAGCTGCCTGCACTCACCAGCCCCTGAAGCTCACAGCATGTAGCCAATGGCAGCCAGAAATGGGATGAGAGGGGGACCTTGATAGCTGAAAGTTGGCAGTCAGCATGGGCTGTGTTGATGGACCAGCAAGGGGACTGGTTGGCCCCCGTGTGCTGCAATTTTGCCTTGCTATGAGCCTTGCATACTCACCTGCATCTTTAGCTATTGGACTCTTGCAGTCACCACTGGTGGGCCTGCGACTGACCACCAGGAATCCAGCCAGTAGCAGAACCCAGACGTGCTGATGTAGGGGAGACAGAAAATATGGGACAATTTGCCCATTCTTAAAAAGTCAGTATACCTGCAGGAAAACTTAAATATGGAAATGTCCCTTTAAAAATGGGACACCTGGTCACCCTAAGCTTAATTGCTGTTATGTCATAGCTATGTCTCATATGCTTCTCCCTTTTGTTTTAACATAGTAGACTTGGTTTTGTGGTTGCTTTGGTGAGGGAAATCCACCACACAGAATGATGGGAAGTGTCTGCATGACCAAGGAATTCGCAGTGGTATGAATGGATAGTTGACAGTAGAGGATTTTGTTGATGCTCTGTGTTGTCTTAGCTCAGGAGAGAAACAGCCAATAGATTCCAACTTCTATAACAATGCTTGCCTGGCCTGTAGGAAAATTGGCTCGGGTGGGGGGAAAAAGACTAGCTAGCTTTAGTCATTGTGACAGTTGCTTCTCCTCAAAGCCCCTGCTGGATTTTCTACTGCACTGTCACAAATTCCATCAATCTCTTCGATTTCTTCAGAAGGAACAGAGGACTTACAAAGTAACCAGTTGGAAGCGCAAATTTGGACAAAGCCAGACATCCAGAAGAGAGACGTGGACTTTTCAGAAATTCTTAATGCAATACAAGAAAGTAAGTTACTACTTGGATCTAAAATTGTTATATTGTACAAGAGATGACTAAGATTAATCAAATAAGGTAATACTTGAAGAAATGGTTAAACCTGGAGAACTGAATAATAATGTAAATAAATTGGAAACTTATGAGAGTTCAATGGACAACTGAAATTCAAAAATAGAGAAAACTATAATGGCTAAGAATCAAAGCTTATGTCCCAATGTTCCTGCTGCTTTATTGACTCCCTTATCACCCTTACTCAAGGTTTTATTTTAAATTGGTTGTCTTCTCTCATTTTTCTGTTGAGGAAAAACAGCTCCTTAAATCTTCAAATGCTACAAGATGTACAAGCAGGTGTTTTAAAAAAACTGTGTTCCTCTTGAGTTTGGTCAGACATGCCAGGTATCCTGCATCTGATCTTCCATTGGAGTGATTGCGTCATTAGTTCTTGGAGAGACCTGAGAGAGGGTTAGTTGTTTGATTAAAATCAGTATCTTCTTGCTTACTTTTTCTACACTGTAGATTTGCACTGAATGCTGTGTTCTTTCTGAACTGAGGGAGCATTTTCCATGAGGAATTCTTCACTATAGAACTTGCTTCTTATCCTCTTTGTCCATCACAACCCCAGTATGTTCTTTATCAAGACATGCTGTAAACATAATCCCTTTTTGTATGTGTGTTTGGGGAGGGGCGGATTGGAGAATGCAGTGACTCAGTTGCAGGCTGACTTCTGGGGGAAGCATTAGAATGTTGAGGCAGGTCTCTCTTTTGATTGACTGTGTATCCGGTATCTTAATTTTTCGTACAAGTGCCTCGACTGAGGGCTCTGTTTAGTTCTGAATATGAATGACTAAATAGCACAAAGCTGAAATGTTTGTGTTGCAAACGTTCCTGGGAAATGCTTTCCTCCACTGCTCCTGCTTTGTCAAATGAGTATTTTTAAAATCACAAACATTTTCTCAGGGCCGGCCCACAACATTTTGACACCTGAGGCGGGAAGCTCAAATGACGCCCCCATTCCCCGTCGCTGGGGCCAAACTTTGAAAGGTCTCACTTCTCTGGGTCCTAGTAGTGCCCCCTCTCCCTCTTCCTTCCCTCTCTGCCCCCCTCCCCCCCCAGTCTGGCACCTGAGGCGGTCGCCTCAGTTCGCTTCATGGTAAGGCCAGCCCTGCATTTTCTATTTCAATTAGTTTTAGCAAAACATTTTTTTAAAAACAAATTGGATTTTGAGACTAGACGTGCTGATAAGTGTCCATTGCTTTTTCCCATATGCCTGAAGTAGTGTGTCACTTTGTAAGACTGCTTTATGAGGTTATGTGCTTACAATGGGCAATCCAAGTGTCACTGAATAGTCTGTGTTGGTTATCCAAGAAATTTGTTAAAACATTTTCCTTTTCCTTAAGAAAAGAGATGATGGTTTGGTATGGGCATTAGTAACAAAATATTTGTAAATAATGAATGCATCTAACCCGCATTTACTTAGTCTTCAATAGCTGATGACTAGTTCATTAGTTCCAATAGTTGAAAGAACAACACCATGCACCTCAACACTACATTTAAATTCTCTTTTAGAGAGATCACATTTCACTTCAGAGTGAGAATAGTTCAGTTTCTAGGCCTACAGTTCTTGGTGCCACCTGTCTGTTATACAATCCAATGTGAAAATGCAGGCAACACATCTGAGGATTTTCTAACTAAGTGCTGTCAGATGAGAGAAGCAAATAGTTAGGATACAGCCAAGGCTGGATTTACACTTTTCCCATAGTTATCCCATCTTCAGCATCCCTGTGCCCCCGTAACCATGCTTATTGCTGACTTTTTTGTAAAAAATGGCATGAAATGAATCATTTAAGTATTTGTTCAATACAATAACAAAAATGCATGTAATTAATGCAATCACATGGGAAACAGGTAGGTACTATTTTACTTCAGGTGTGCATCTTTCTTTCTTGATTTCTGCTCTGTGAATGTACTAATGATATCTCACAATCCATATCTTTTAAAAGTTCTCTTACAACAGTTAGAAGAGTCCAGGTTTCTGACCCATGGAAGTACCAGGCTCAGGGCTGTAGACACTTTGCTGCATTCCTAGTAAAAGCCTCAAGGGGGTGGAGGACACAAGGGCTCGGGGCTTTAGCCCTGTGGTTCTGTTCCTGGCTTCAGTCCTGGGAGAGGTGTTGGGGCTCAGGACTTTAGCTACAAGGGGAGTGCTGGTTTCCACTAACGCCCAGAGCCTTGGCATGCCTCTCCCCTGCTGAAACCTGGAGTAGAGCCATGGGGAGCCCTGAGCCACAGTGGCATTTTTTTGTTACTCTTATTATGTTTTTTTTTTAAATTTGGGGTCTACATTGGTGCTGATCCTCTGTGAGGGTTTCTTTAAAAATTCTTCATACATCTTGCAGGGATTTCTCTTTTGAGCTGAGCCTCTGTGAGGGTGTCTTTAAAAATTCTGCATACATCTTGCAGGGATTTCTCTTTTGGCCCTGTGTCTTTTAATTTCTGTTTAAATAGCCTCCCAGTTTTTGTGAAGTCTCCCTTTCTGAAATTAAATGCTACAGTGTTTTTCCCAGTTACAGGGATGTAAAACCTACTTATGTTACGGCCACTATAACCAAGCGGTCCAGTTATATTCATTTCTTGGATCAGATCTTGTGTTCCACTTAGGATTAAATTAAGAATTACATTGTGTCCTAAGATGACATGTACCCAGTCAATGTGGTGATATTGAAATCCCCCATTATTACTGAATTTTTTATTTTTATAATCTCTCTAATCTCCTTGAGCATTTCGTAGTCACTATCACCATCCTTGTCTGAAGATGGGTAATATATCCCTACTGCTATATTCTTATTATTAGAGCATGGAATTGCTATCCATAGAGATTTTGTGGTAGTTTGGATGATTTAAGATTTTGACTTCATTTGATTCTACACTTTTTTCACATATAATGCCTCTCCCCTACCAACATGGACTGTTCTGTCCTTCCAATATATTTTGTACCCTGGTACTACTGTGTCCCATTGATTATCCTCATTCCACCAAGTTTCTGTGATGCCTATTATATCGATATCCTTCTTTAATATGAGGCACTCTAGTTCACTCATCTTCTTATTTAGACTTCTAGTGTTTGTATGTAAGCACTTTAAAAACGTGTCACTTTTTAGCTGTTTGCCATTAAATGATATAATTGAATGTGACTCTTTTTTATTTGACTGTTTCTCATCAGAGCCTACCCATATTTTATCATCTTCCATCCTCTCCTCCATACTAGGACATGCACTACACATAAGTCTATCTAGATGTCGAGAGAGATCTAAAACCCTTGTACCAAGCAGGCAAGTCACCATGTAGTTCTCCTGGTCATCTTAAACCCAGCTATCTATGTTTCTGATGATCAAATCCCCCATAACTAATGCCTGTCTCTTCCCAATAACTGGAGTTCCTGCCCCCAGACAGGTATCATCAGTGCAAGAGGATATCGCAACATTATCTGGGAAGAGGGTCCCAACTATGGGATTGTTTCCTTCTGTTCCAAGTGGATGTTCTTTTTCCCTGAGACTTCCATCCTCTTTCATAGCACAAAGGCTGTCAGACTGGAGGGGGAACTACTATGTTCTAGAACGTCTCATCTATGTACTTCTCTATCTCCATTAACTCCTCCACTTCAGCCACTCCAGTTCAGTCCATACATAGTTTCTGAGGGCCAGGAGCTCCTTGCACCAAAGGCACAGATATGCCACTGTTAGGTAATGGTAGAGCAATACATGCTGGACTGGGTGCAATAAACTGGATAGCTTCCACCCTGTGGCTGGGCTTCAGCCTGCAATTCTCTTTTTACTTCTGAAGCTCATTCCGTTGTCAATGTTTTGTTTTTATCAGGGGGGTGTTTGGGATTGCACATTTAAAGAATGCTAAATCTAGCCCTCCTCTCCCTCTCCCTCTCACCTCCCTTGCAAAACTCCCCTGTTAGCTGCTCCTGTTCGCTACCTCCTCTGGTCACTTAGGAGTGGGGTTTTTAAAGCCCTGGCCTTCCTGAGAAGCCTCCACCCCCTGTTTAAGGGTTGATGGGTGCTAAGGAATTTAAGGATCCTTGGTTAGATGTCCTCAGCCTAGCCTAGACTCAGCACAATTGATGATTATTTAACAGAAAATTAATCATGAAAAAACTGGTCCAGGTTGTGAACATTGTAGATTGCTCTCTTTTAAAGAAAGCTGATTATAAAATTGTATCCAACACACTAGTTCAGAGCTTGAATCTTTCCTTTTCACAATGGGGTTCTTAGTGTTTAGTAGGGCTCCTAAATACTTTGGTAAAGTAAATACAAAATAATTAATAATAATTGTCAATGATGAGTAACAAACAAAATTATGAGGAGTCACAATAAGCCGGAGTAAAACATCATCATCTGGTCACAACAACAAGTGGTGGCTCCCATAAAGAAAAGGAGAAGTAAAACCACCAAAGAAAGATTTATGCAGAAATCAATGAGTGGATGTCAGATAGTGGTGTAAAGAGATGGAATGCATCAGTGATCAAAGATTAACTTTTGGTTTTAGAAGGGTGCCTCAAAAGAGACAGAAGGCTTCATTATGAGTGCAAAAAAGCAGTCCTTAAGGCTTAATTGCCTTTGAAACAGAATTGACCAATAGAGCTGCTCTCCAAATTACAGAACATGTTCCAAAGAGGAAGTTGGTGGAGCATGTGTTGAACACTGGCAGCAGCCTAGCTGGGAGAGAATTCATGAAGGAACAGACACAATGAGATTGCTTTAAAGCCTCTGTAGCAACTATGGACTTAACATTCTGATAAATGGGGTCCAGAAGACAGCACACTTAGGCACTGAAAGAATGTTAAGGAACGTCAAAGGCGATAGAGTACATTTGAGCACCTAAAATGCAGGAAATCCGCCAAGGATTGAACAAAAACCCTGACTTCCCAGACCTACAGAGCTGGTATGTGGTCAAGATTTATGGGTGGCTCACAGAAATTATAGATAGTAGCTTTCTCTTTAGTC